TTTTTTAATATATATTTTAAATCTTGTCCGTCTAATCACAATAAATTCTTATTAAATATTAAAATATTACAATAATTAACATTTTAAAATATTTAAAATATATCAAATGATGTTCTTTATCGAAATATTCGATTTACATTAGACCATCATCGAATATTTCGATAAAGAACATCATTTGATATATTTTAAATATTTTAAAATGTTAATTATTGTAATATTTTAATATTTAATAAGAATTTATTGTGATTAGACGGACAAGATTTAAAATATATATTAAAAAAAATATATATAAGACATATCCCGTTAGTCTTAAGATTATTATAGGAGAACTGAGGGGGCAAAGAGACTAGAGAAACTTTTTAAGACGTAGGTAAGTTTTTTATATTACGAATTGTCTTCGTTTGTTGAATAACACGTTCTGCGGCCGAAATGCTGTTTCTCGTGATCGCTTCTCTTTGCTATGATTGACTTTGTTATTCTTCCCGTCTCTGGGTCTACTGTCTACGGAGAAAACATCTCACGCAAAAGACGCCTTTATAATAGAGACACCTCTACAAATCTTAACTTTGGCACCAGAAGATGGGAAATATTACATAAAACTGTGGAACGTGAGGTGTGCTACACAATGCACCTCACTTCCAACTTCACGTCCATGCGTTTAAATGCGTTTTCACGAAAGTGGATTGGCGACCAAGTTACGGCGTTATAATCATAAAGTCTGTATGCGATGTGTAGAAAATCAAATAATCCCAGAAGAACTGACGGCTTCATCGTCATACGCTTTATCTAATGCGGTGTAAATATTCTATCATAGCAAAATTTTGGTTAGGCTAGTTAAGTATATATTAAATCTTGTCCGTCTAATCACAATAAATTGTTATTAAATATTAAAATATTACAATAATTAACATTTAAAATTGGAGTCCATTTTCGCGTTACACGAGAAACATAATATGAAGTGTGGACTTAATTATACTGGTATAGAATAAGGTTCAAAGGTGTGATTTTGTGAATACGGAAATGAACCTTCAGGTTCTATAGAAACTGGACATTTTTTGACCGAATGACCATCAGTTTTCCAAAGAAAGCCCAACACTACAGAGTTATATAACACGTTAACAGTCAGAATAACAAATGTACTTGAGTCTACATGTTAACTATGATTAGTACACGTTCGTACACAAGAATAACTCACATGAATAGAAACAAAATTTTCCACTCACCATGTCCTGATTTCTTCTGATGTGTATTGCACCTTGGGGATAGGCTGCCCGCTGCACACAGAAAGGGAACAATCACACGCTAAGCTAACTGAATCCGATGAATGAATTGGTCCAGTCACTTCAATAGCAAATTCAATTATCAAGAAGTTTCGCTTAAACCGAGAGGACTGGAGCTGTGAAAGATTAGGTTAGGGATGTCCATCCGTATCACACAGACAGAACACGAAGGTTCAAGATTGCTCGCGCTGTATTTAAACGGAAGAGGATTCGCGCAGTTGACGAAAGACGGAATTTTCGAAAACTTTTGATGAAACGTGCCGAAAAGTCAGCCCACCGTATCTCACCCAGTTTCAAACAACATATATAGTTGACTCAGAGTCATAAAAAAACAACAAAAAAGAGATATCAGGCACATACATAAACATTTTATAGAATAAGTGCATAGCATAAAGATTCTCTATTCAGAGCAGAAACTGACAATAAACTGGAATCCAAAACATTAAACATTCATACATTTTACGTGTTCTTTGCATAAACTGCATCCCATCCGCATGTTTCATTTCCGAAACGCCTCGACCGATTTTAATTATACTTTATATTGGTGGTTTACTCTAACATTTTTAGAGCATCTTTAGTTCTGATTCATGTCGGTCCGGCAGGTTTTTCACCCCCCCCCCCCCCCCCCCCGTTCAAATCGAAATAGTTTTATAAAACACCGGCTCATCTTAATATGGACGTAAAACTTGGTCTTTCACGTTTCGGGAAGAACACACACTGAAAAAAGGATGCTGAGGAAAAGAAATGGAATTAAGAGGCATGAAGTGAGAGGGGAGTGAAGAGAAATGTATAATGAGGAGCTCCATAATTTGCATTGTTCACCAAATATTATTAAAATTATGAAATAAAGGAGGGAGAAAATGAAAAATGCGTACAAAATTTTGGTTAACCACTCATAAGACCTAGTCGTAGATTTAAAAGTATTATTAAAATGGATCTTGGAGAAATATGGATATAGGTTGTGGATTGGATTCGTCTGGAACGGGTTCCGCGAAATAAGAGGTGATACTTGACTAGTTCAGTTCTCAAGAAGGACTCTGCTCCAAAGAGTTAGTTCGGTTCATCGTACAAAAAGTTGGCACATAACATGAAATACAGAACACAAAACATTCCTCAGTTTGGTGTATTTAATTTAAGAAGACGAAAAATAATTTATACCGTTCTCTGGTATGTGGATTAACTTCACGGAGATTACTTAATTTTGCAGTCATTAGCAACGAAGTATTTGTGAAACGCAAGTACGTATTGGTATGCACTTTTCAAAGTAAGCGAAATTACAAGAAGAGTGACACTCGAGGACGAGGGACATCCCTGACGTTAGATGGGGCGCACTCCTCAATCAGATCACAATATACCTGATGCTCTCGTTTCCCGTCTTGCTGGGAATTACAGATACAGAACACACTGCACTAAATTTTCGAAGTTGAAGGGCTTGTTGAATAACTCCAAACAGCCCGGCTAAATGTAACGTCTTGTTTCCTAACTTTTAGCTCCTTTTAAATATTTTTTAAGGAAAGAAGGTTCATAATGTCTGTAGGTCTTCGCTTTCATCTGCATATGCGTGTGTGTTACGTCAAATAACTTTCGAACACACTGACCAATTTTAATTAAATTTGGTTTGAACTGATACCACTGGAAAATATCATATATTTATCATTTTTAATTCTCGGAGTATCTGACTGATAACAGAAAATAGAACCAGAAAGTTCAACGGCGATAATGTCACAGCCCGCCACTGGGCACAATACTGAGACAGATCCATCTACCACTGTATCTTTCCGAGTTTCATCTTCTGTCCGTCCACATAACAAACTGCGCTGACTGGACACATTTACACGGCATTTGAAACAGATTTACATTAAAACTCTGATACGAAGATGGCTGTCTTCTGGGTTGTACAGCCATGTCGTCTGGTAGAAGTTTACCAACGTTTCAGAGGTCCTTGTTGCCTCCATCATCAGGGCGACGAGTCACTCATCGCCCTGATGAAACGTTGGTAAATTTCTACGACAACCTCTCCGCCGTGAGAATCTCAAATCTTCTCTTCTGGTATGTTAAGGCATATAGCCTGGTAGAAGTATACAGACGTTTCAGAGGTGTTTGTGCTTCCATAATGATGACGATAAACAAATTTTCGTTGTAATATGAACTTATTATGAACAGTCAACTTACTATTTATATGAATTAGCGATGTCTGAAAATTGTTCGCGTCTCTTGCGATACACCGGGTCCTTGAAGCCCTAGAAACACAACAAATACAAGATTTGGTAAGTAGTACGCCGCACAGACAACGGACGTTCAGCGGCGCAGCGTTGCAGAAACCCGGCTTCGGAAAGGAACATCAAAGCCTATTCTTTGAACTTATTATTTTGTAGATCAAACTCAGATTTTTACGTCTTTAGACAAGAGACGGAAATACAAAAACAAAACAAAAATCTAAAATGAACAGACGCAAGAACTTCCCCGAGGCTAATTATGATTTTTATTGTCGTTCCCAAATATTTTAACTGCTATGTTTCAAAGAAGTTTTCAGTTGACTTTGTTTCATGATTTCGTCCTGCATTCTGGCCACGAGACATGAAAATATACTATAGGCCTACTTAATTTTTTCCTACGTTTAATTCTAGATCAGCCTCCGTAGTAACGCCAAACTGATCGTTCCTGCTTTAAGGTATTTATGTTTTCGCTCCATTGACTGATGTCATTAGCACTGACCTTCCTAATTACTTTCGAAAGGCAAATTGAGACACAGTGGTAATAAAGCATTTCCTTGCCTCACAGAATTCTAAATATGACATGCAACATCCTGTACAAGCCCATCGCCCTTTGAAACTCCATCCTCTACAATAAACGTTCTCGTGCATGCTGATGGGGGCAATTGCACTCACCGGGTGTTCAGCGTCCAGCTCAGAGCCGTACATGAGGACACGCTGGGCGTTGTCCAGATCAGAAATCTTGCGCGGAAACCACGGCATCTCACCGAAATCTGAAGAGAAGGAAACAAGTTCCGGGTTTGACTATAAATACCAGAACTCCAATAAACAGGTCTAATGTGTCGCAAACGTACGTACAGAACTACGGCATATCGTCGAAATCCGAAGACAAACAAATACATTCTGGCTGAAGGCGCTTCTTTCAAACACCTAATCTGAATACGGGTCCTAGAAAATACACAATCTCAACGGAGATTTCGCGTTCTCCCGTGACTTTGGGTGCAGGCACTGGTCCCTCCAGCTTCCTCGCAGCTTTGATCCTAGTCTGACCCCTGCATTAATAACACTTTCGGGTAAGATAAACACGATTATAATTCCCAGTTAAATTACATAACATAATGGGATGCCAGCTGGAGGCCCCCAGAATTCGATTTCCAGTAGAAACTTCCGAAATTTTCTCTTTACCAATGAGACCACAAGAAACCTGGAGTCTAACAACCTCTTATCCGATGAATAAATGGCGGGTGAATGAATCTAACTGCTCACTTCCACCTAATGATGTAGTGAAAAATTACAATTTTATAAGATTCGTATACCACTTCCGCATATTTTCACAGAGTTACGACTTCTGTTACCAAAAATCCCCTGACAGTTGTTGCTTTAACTTCTAAGAGGTGACGACATTCGCTTGTTTCACTTATATTTCTTCCAGCACTTCATAGCAGACCAGATTAGATGTTCGGTGCTTCTAAATGAGACGCCTTTATGGGGAATGGGCAAGGGCTAACTGGGGCTCAGCTCGAACTCACCGAAACTTGCGGCAGCCGAGAGCGGCGTTGGTGGCAGAGGCGGCAGATCGGCGCCGTCCTCGTACTGAGCCAGGTTGATGGCCGACACCTCGCGACGCAGCAGACTCACCAGCTGTTCCATCCGCTTGTTGTCGCACTGTACGTCCACCAGGATCTCGAACTCGGACTGCCGTCGGTTGGAGCGTCTCGACTCGATATGAAGCACATTCACTCCCAAGTCCTACGGATAACGGTACCATAACCTCTGGCCAACGTTCATGGGATATCAAATCACAAAAGAAGTTCAATCTGGGATTGATCACTCCGAACTTCTCGAACCCACTTGCAGGAGTAACAAATGTGTAGTGTGCGTACTAGAGTCATCAAAACTAAAAATAATTCATACTTTTTCTCATTAAACTTAATTTCTCTGAGCAGTGTTTGACACAGCAAAATCTGGAATTATTATTAATAACGTTAAGACTAATTAGCCATCATTAATATGCATATAAGTGTAATGCAGTAAATGACAATTTGCCTTACCTGGAAAACCTGAAGAGCGCGTGCCAGCCCGCCGACCTGGTTCTTGAGGGAGAACACCACGGAGTTGTGGGGATCCTTGCTGTCATCAGAAAACTCACGAGGTTTCACAGAACCAGAAGCGTGCCCTTCAGCCTGTATCGAGAAACACAGTAACATTAGCACAACTCTTCCATCACAGGCTATATACAGAGAGTCCCACGTAACTCGGAACCAGCATGCGACGGCAATGTACTGCGTTGAGACTGGCCCATTTTCCGGCAGTTCGCTCGCTGTTGCTGCGGCATGCTGTCATGGCAGGTTCCACGTTAAGTGGGACGCCTTATACTAAGGAGACGGTAATTTCGCCACATCGAGAATGTTACAGTAAAAGAATGCTGATTTCGAGGAAAGTTATATTTTGTGTGATGTACAACTGTTTTTAACTATAAGACGTATTTGTGTGTTCTCTGCACGAGGCGCATCAAACTAATCCTGTCTGACCATCCAACCATCTAACCATCTGCGTGTTCTAACATCCAAACTACTGAACAGATTTCGATTACTCGAAACTGGTACACATCTGCGTGTTCTAACATCCAAACTACCGAACACATTTCGATTACTCGAAACTGGTACGTTCGAAGTTCTTCAGCGATTTTTACATGTACCGGTAAAATAAAAATTATATTTTGCATAAAGTTAACATCGAAAATAAAGGTATTCTAAGAAGTATCGCAGTACGAATCATCTGTACACAAACATAAAATATGGATTTAGTTAAAATTTAAGTTACAACTCATATTTTGAAGCATTTTTCGACATGGTGAATATGTATACGTTGGGCGGACAATATACAAGGACACATCGTGTCTGTTTCTGTAAATAGTTTTGTAATAATATATTTGTAAAGCCATCGAAGCGATAATTGACATCCGTTTGTTTTATTTCTGTTGTTAAAGAAAGTATATTAGCTACGTATTTCGTTAGCTATTGATTTTGCTTGTGAAATTATCCTATTTAGTAGTTGGAACGTGGCCGGACAAAGATAAGCTGTAACAGGCAAATCCAGGCAGCCTACCGCTGTGATGTCAATACTGAATTTAGATACTTCATTCACTGAATAAGGAACATAACACATGATGACTTTTAGCCTCGCTATGTCGGGAAAATCCGTCCTTCAGTCAGCCAGTGAATTAGCGAGTTCGACTACACCACGCTATCGGTCACAGGTCTTCCTTGACGAGTTTATATTTGCTTGACTGGTCGAAACACTAACTGCTTTCACGTAACCAAGAGGTCTGTCAGGGTGTTCATAAAAGCCCACCATCGGATCCTGCAAGGACACTACACCTTAAATTTATATTTCTGTAAGATCTAATATCACAGTATTATCTATTCCTTGATCTGACAAGAGGTTTCTTCGACCGGGTACTTCCAACTGAATTGTTATGTTAATTCCTTCTTTCTCTACGTGTGCTATAACTTAGCCCATTTAATCCTTCTTGATTTAGTTACCCTAACAACGACAGGTAGAGATTTTAAACTATGCTCCTCATTAACAAATTTCTCCCCTTTGTCTCTTGTTACTTCAACTTCATCTTTGTTCTCAAACACCCTCAATCAATGTTCGAACTTATATAATAATTTATTAATAAAATATAATTTGATTCAATTTAAACAAATGCACGTAATACCATCACTTCACACAAAATCCCAAACAAATTTTCAGATATTTCCTAAAATACTGACTAAACCGAAACACGTTCGTGACAATAATTTATTTTTTAAAACGAACATTTTAAGTATTCACATTTTGTTTGTATAACGAACTGATTACGAGGTAATAACGTCAAATACTGAAACGGACGAAAATAATATATTTGTGTTTGCCCACTCCTCTCCAGTGCGATACAACCACAAGCCCAGAAGTCCCTTGCCGGAGGCACTCATGGCTACCTGTTGCTGCTGCCACTGTAACGACGCTGTAGTGACGCTCTGCCTGCAGAGACCGCGGTAATAAACTAGAAACGCGACGCTCCGCGCTGTTCAGCACGTCCATTGGCTGCAACACTCGCGGTCCCATTGGCTGGCAGCCACGCTGCGTATTCACCTTTCTCTCCATCTTCAGCTTTCACCCACATTTCTCCCTTAACATTCCTGTTTGTTAATCTTCTTTGTTTACGAGACTTCATCAACTGTTGAGGTTAAGACAGATATTAAAATCGCATATTCTTATTCGAGAAGTCCTGATTTTTATTCTCGGCCTGGAGGATGGGAATCTTGACAGAATTTCGCGGTTTCCCTCAGACCCCTCAGACGTGTTTCACGTTCATTAACGATGCGGTCCATGCTGGAATTTTATGAATTTTACTGTATATTTAATCATGCGTGTAGCTGTAATCGTTATTGACTTGTGTGACGTTTTGAGATATATTTATCCTTTGACTTATAACATCCCCCAGTTGCAATTTATTTCGTTTCAGTTTTAAAACTGTTGAACTCAATTTGACATTGGACTAGAACGTAATTTTCCGACTGTCCCACAGATGACCCACATTTAAAGTTACCTTATTTGAACATGTGACAAATAATCTGAACTTCTATTTTTTTTTATTTTATGTTGAGGTTACCGGATTATGGGGCCATGTACGCACTATATCGGACCTCGCCTCACGCGACAGTGAATCTGATGAAAATGACAACCTGTCGCAGTTAGTTCAGTTGCAAAATAACAGGAACGTTGAACCATACGCAATCCTACACTAAAGTAGGCGGCATGGATAACTAGCCAGTTCTCTCAAGTTAAGTTTCATGAAATATTTATACCCTGAATTTCCATACCTCCAACTCTTCTCTACACTTCGGTTTTCATTACACTTCTGTCACTTTAATGATCTCTTTTACGGCATTTATTTGTTTTATATCCTAACAGAAACGGTACATAAAGACAATTTAGTCATTGGCTTAGAAAAGCCTGTGATCTGAATACGTCAAGGACTGGGCTAAAAGCTAAACCATTAACTCTTTCATTTCTGAGATTTTAAGCAGAAAGATATTATTTTGCGCTACATATGATTAACTCAGATTTCCAAGGGAATATATTATAGGTTTCTTTACGCTGATAATGAACTACACCGAAGATATACGGGAACGAAGCATCAGTTTCAAAGTGATAACTTACATTTCGTTCGTAACATGAAAAGTATTAACATCACATTTATGATTTTATATTAAAATTAAGTATTATTTAGTTTATGTTATGTTATTTTGGAAAAATTTCTCCTGAACCTTTGTGTGACTATTTCTTTACACATGTACTTAACTGACCGCGGAGAAAAATTAAAATTACGATTCCTAATTTTCGTAAACATACCCTGCATTCTTCCGGCATTACTGGTGTCTAAATTTTGAAGAAAAAATTGTATTAGTAAGATTTGATACAGTCTATAACACTACTATAATGCACGTCATAAACATTATGAACCCTAAAAATAGTTTGGTGCGTTCCAAGAATATTAACATTTTGCATTATAACACTTTACAAAAATTATTTTTTAATGGAACAAATTGTAATCAATTTGGAGCCGCCTCTCGGGTCTGCATTCACTTAGATTCATTTTCGTGCCATTTAATAATGCTGTTTCAACTTCAGAGGTCACACAGCCTACTGTCAGATGATATGGGAAAATGATCATAAATGCTGAGTTGGTATGAATTCGTAAATGGGCTGTCGCGGCCTATTTTAAAATACGACATCGTCATTCACCGGTAACTGCGGAATATCACAAATTAAAAACGGTCTGGATAGCCCGTTTTGCCACCGAGACTCAAACCGGGTACCTAGCCAATACGAAACTTAAAACGTTAGCGGTAAATCAGTCTGTGTGGTCGTCCACTTCGAAACGGAGCACAATCACGTTGTAAGAAAATGCATAATTTCTCTTCTGTGTACTGAGACTGTGCGAGAGGCCGGCTGAGCATACAAGGAGCTGCTACGAGGGTTGTAGGTAATTATTTGCACCCGACTGTGCCAAGATGATCGAAGGAAACACAGACTTTAATTTAAAAATTAAATTTCGTTCAAAGTTTGATCACAGACCGACGCAGCTTTGATCGAAATTGTTTAATATGTTAATTTAAAAAAGAATCATTTGTAGTCACCGCTGTGTATTGTTCCAATACCATCTACACATAATCGAGGTGTTGATCATACTCTCAGCCAATTGACACAAATAAAATGACAATGTAGCAGATAATCACCATCACAATAATCCTCTCTATGTTTCTCTTCTTATTATCCACAGTCTACCACCCCCCCCCCCCCCCCCCCTCCCCCTCCTCTCCCCCCCCTTCCCCCACT